CCATCGATGAGAGAGAAACATCGATCAGCTGTCTCCTGCACACCCGATTCCATTATTTCTAATAGAGAAAATATAAAGAAAAAAAATCACCCAAAATCACATTTTGAAAATCATTTTCATTCAAATCTCTACACACACATATAATTTTACACAAATACAATTACATGATTTTTTAAATTAAAACTTAACATGAAAAATGGAGTATTGAACTAAAAAGAATGAGCGAGATCTGATGTGTTGTAAGCCTGAATCTGCTACTTTCTACATATGCCAACTTGGGCAAATTAGCCAACTTCTCTGGATCCTTCATTCCTTTATTAGTTCAGCAAATATTTATTGGGCACCTAATACTTGCAGGTTTCTGTGCCTGTCCCCAGGCTCACCTGTTTCTTCATCTCTAAAATGCTAATAAAAAAGCATACCAACCTTATAAGATTGTCATGATTGATTATTAAAATGTATCATTTAGTTTAGGGCTTGGCCGACATATAATTATTAAGAGCTTATAATAATTGCTATTAAAAAAATGTTATTCAAGAATCAAGGATGAAGAAAGGAGCTAAAGCAGGTGTCCCTAAATGTTTGCACTAAAATTCACATTCATTCCACAGGTGAGCCCCCTGGAACTCAGTCCAGGCCTGTCTGCTCTTATATGCCATTCTCTCAAAGCATGATTATCTGCTTTCCAACTTCCCAACGAGAGGGGAGAAGGAGGCGCTGCCACCAGTCTTGCTGCTGGTGGAAAGTTATAACTATAGCCAGAACTTTAAAATCATAACCAACGGTATGGTTACTGGGAAACTGACTATTTCTCACACAATATTCATCGCCTCCTCACAGATCACACTGCCAATCCACAAGGTGAGAAAACCCCATTCACGCTGCTCTGTGATGGACTCCACGTCTCCTCCACGTCCTTACACATTGTTCAGAGAAGGTTTAGGGGTGGCCTTGGGAACAGGGACTTAAAACTGGCACCACAGAACTGAAGAGCTACAATGTACTTGACAGGTCATCCCTATCCCCTCCGCTCCCTCCCCTCGCTTTTAAACACGATCCTACACTTAGTGCTGCCGCAGGTCCCCCCCAGCCCCCCGTTTACTGTTGTTGTGAACCCCTGCAGCAGGAGGAGGTCCCGAAGAAAGTGGCTTTGTGAACCCCTGCTCCTAGGCATTCCATTCCCTGGCCTGCAAGAAACTTTTATTGAGTAAGTGCGTGGTTGGAGTTGAATGTTTCCAAATCTCTTCCTTTCTACCTGGGGAACTTTCAGCAGAATCCACACGCGCAAGGGCAGTTCCCACGGGTCTCTGACCACCCAGGCACGGGTTGCAAGCAGAACAGACCTACAATTTTCTCCCACTATCGGATCCCGCGTGGGCTCCCCTCCCAAAATAAACCCCCAGCGGCCTCTCCCTCCCCACCCCTTCCACGCTAGGGTGGGAAAGAGGGGAGCGTAAGCCTGGCGCGAGCAGGGACGCGGGGATACCTGGGCATAGTGGCTCTGCAGCCCCAGGGTCCGAGCTCCGCGTCGGGCCCAGCTTAGAAATTAGACCGCAAACTCCGAGGTGGGCCCGGGCAAGCAGGCTCTTCGGTTGCCATGGGAGCGACGTCACAGGCTGGGTTGCGTGCAGAAGAAGGGCTTTATGGGAAATGTAGTTCTCAGTGTTCTTTTCAAGTCTCAAGCTCAGCCGCATCTCCCAGAATGTGCAAGAACGAAGTGACACGCGGTAACAAACTCTTTGATCTAAAAGTTCTCGGCTGCAAGTGTTCTTTCATTTAAAAAATTCTATTGAGCACCGAATATATGCCAGGATTTTCCCATTCCTCCAGGTAGTTTTCTCTTGCCAATAGCAGTAATTTGGGAATGGAGAGTGAAGCAATCTCCCGAGCTATTTTCTAGTGATTTACTAGCGGCAAAGAATATTATGATTTTTGTATTTCCCAACTTTCTGCTCATTTAGTTGTTTCCGGTTTTATGCAACAGCACATTATTTATTAACAGGTTAATAACGTCAATGCATCTCCACAATATTTCACTTACTTTACCTCCAAATCAGTAATAAATATTGATTTAGTACTGTATGCAAAACTGTGTGCTACACAGAGTAAGAAATGAAGCGATGAGTAAGATAAGATCCTTACCCTTGAGAAAGATACACAATAGTAATTAAATAACCCAAAGGAAGCCAGTGATATAAACTATTGCAGAGGTCCCCCAAATTACATAAGAATAAGTGACTATGCCCATTGCTGTTGGGGGAACATTCATGGCAGTGCCAGTAGTTGATCTATCTTGAATGCTGAGTAGACCCAGGCTTTCCAGCTCAAGATGTCCTGGATATTTGAAGGACATATTCTCCCTGCACCCTTCTGCCACTGGCTTGGTTTCTATGGTGTAACGTTCAGGAACATGGACCTTAAAGTGAGATAGACCTGGATATAAATCCCGACTCAGCCACACTGTGAACATTTGTGTCTTGTTTTGGAGTTATTTGCTAATAGATATTGCCTTAGTAAGAGTTTTTGTTTCTGACCTATTACTGGACCCCAAAATACTTCAAACATACAATGAAGATTTTTGGAATGATGTTGATTATAAATATGCCTTCAGAATCATTGTGACTGTTCAACTTAGGTAAAATTATAATATGAAGCAAGTGTTTATTTCCTCACCCCAGTCTCTGCCCAGGCCCATCCAACTCCTCACTGTAGGAATGACCTTCCCACTTTCCCACTGAAATGCCCAAGAAAAGCCTGAGGTTTGGTCCCACTGAAATATGGATGAATCTCACTTTACCCTAAATGTCCATGTGTGGACTTTACATTAATTTGGAGTTTAAAATTACTCACGCACCAGTAAAACTCCTTTCTTCTTTTAGGGAAAAGAGAATAGGGGAGAAACGTGAGAGGATATACAATTTCTACATGAGCCATGTGGCAGGGAAACTCCTCTGTTACTCCTGTTCCCCATTCCCCCCATTTCAGTGCCTACAATCCTGAAGCCTTGGCTCCAGAGACATCAGCCCAGAGACTGCACTGAGGGAGTCCGAATTCCCTGGCAGCTCCGGGGCGGGTGCACGGGTGAAATGTGTTCTTGGCATCCCAGGAACACTGAAAAACTTTTTCTGGAGAAATAGGGTTATCCATGGTGGTTAGTGCTTCAGGATTATACTTCCGTAAAATTATGGGTTAAATGTGTTGTTCCAGGAACCTGACCACCTTTTTTTTTCTATTAAAAAATACTCCAACCAACCAAAATACACAATTTTAGAACAAAGATTCTATAAGTTGTGACTAACTTTTCTTGTAAATGCAGAGTTAAATTCATTTCCAAGCTCTGGCAGTATTTGACTTTAAGGACACATACACACAAAACATAGAACCATTCAAAATAAATTTTCAGAAAAGTCCATTCAACTCATCTATATGCAATAAGCTCTCTTAAGGGGTTAATATGAAATCATGGGAGAAGTCCATGATTTCTACATATTGTATATGTGTCAATATGCATACACATGTATTAAAATTATAACTTGCCCAAACAGCTTCCTTTTGTATGGATAAACCAAAGCAACACTGAAGACAAAGCATGAATATAACAGAAAGAGGTAATAACTACCATTTTCACTATGAGTACACCTCAGTTTTGACAATGAAAACGTTAGCTACTTCTTTTAGATTACTCAAAATATAATGCTCAAAATGGGTTTTGTAAGTCATTTATTATGATTGAAAGGTAAGAAAATGATAGGCGACACATATTACAATTAAACATGTAACATTATTCTCTTGTAGCCAATCATAATAACATAGTTTTAATTTTTTAAATGTCTATATAAGTAATTTTCCAGAAAATGAAATTCTCACATCATCAGTTACAGAAAATTGACTTCTTTCCATCAAAATATTTTATCTCTGCTCTATCAAAAATTAATACTGAGTCTAGGGTACCAAGGTTTAAGCTAAGCCTTCACAACTTGTTTAAATTAGAAGATTTAGGGTTGCTTACTAAATGGTGAACTAACTATTGCCTGGGAATGAAGTTCTCACACATATTTAACAGCTCTGCCAAGTCTCTGGCTCACCAACTAATGATTTTTTAAATGGTTTTCTGGGAACTTAAAAACTCTATTGCATCCCAGCCAAAAAGCCTCCTGAGAGTCATCTCAAACTAGGAACCAGTTTATTCTCAAAAACGAATTTGTTTACACAATAAGTGGTTGTGGCTCAAAAGATTTAGGGAAAATAGTAACTGGAAATCTCTTTCTATGGTTTGTTGTTGCTGTTCTTGTTTTATCATTACCAAAAAAGCAACATCTTACTTAAGCAGCACATTTCATGGCTCTGTCCTTTCTAGGGATGCTCGTATGGGATGGAACATTTGTAAAAGGCTTAGTGTGAGAACAGTATACTGCCAGAGGGAGCAAAGAAGAAAACGTGAAGGCTCTGCCAACAAATGAATTCAAGCAGCTAACATTTATTTTTTTCCAAATTGGTTTAAAAAAGTACCATACACAAAGTGATAAATATGTCCAAAAAATAAATACAAATATTCTACACATAAATAACATTAAGTATACTGATTACCATCACAATTAAACATCTTATAATTTTCATGTCTTATCACAGTTTCATATTTATCAAGAATACTAATTACTATGTCCTGACACATACTACAATGTCACTGACCATTTATGTAGCCTAGTAAAAGAATATATTTCTAGGCTCTTTCAACTAAAATTTCACCTCCTTTGACAGAAATATTACTTTCTCTTCTTATAAATATACTAGAGGCCCAGTGCACGAAATTCATGCATGGGTAGGGTCCCTAGACCTGGCCGGCGATCTGGGCTGATCTGTGGGGCGACCAGTGGGGCGATTGGGGGCCCCCATTGGCACCCGCCTTGACTGGCCTGGGGCCTGCGGGCTAGGGGCAGCTCCTGCATTGAGCATCTGCTCCCTGGTGGTCAGTGCACGTAATAGTGACCGGTCATTCCACCGGTTGTTCCACTGTTTGATTTGCATATTAGACTTTTATTATATAGGATTTTTGGGGAATTTATTTTCAAACTACCATGAAAAAGGACTATATGAGGCAAAAATTTAAGAACTGTCTTTGTTTTCAACGATATTATTTAACAAACCAAGGTCAAGATGGCCCAGCATCAAATGCAATGAAATGTGGGCAATATTCCAGTAAACGCAGGCTCTGTTGACAACCAAGGAATGTCAGGAATCACTGTCTCGTTTTAAATTTTACACTCTAGTGATCTGAAAGCTGACGGTGTATGCTTCCTAATATTACATAGGAAGTTCTGGTTACCTAACTCCTGTTTTCTCACACAATGATTCATCGGGCCAGAAGATTTACTGAACTTGCTCTAAAAATTTATACATAAACACCATCCTGCAGCTGTTTCTTACACTGTGCACACCCCTTCTTTCCAAACACATTAATTAAAATACATTTAATTACAGTACTTAGCTTTTTGGCAGTATTTCCAAATATTCAACTTGTTTGCCAAATGAGAGTTTGGAATCTCCCTTTCTAAAGATTGCCAGAATGTTCTTTTAAAAGAAGAAGAAGAAAAAATTAAAAAAAACCATATTACATGATGTGTCTGATAGCAAGGGAGAAGGGAGACAGAAAAAAATTACAAATTCTAACCCATTTAATCCAGGAGAACATCAGTATGTGTGCAAATTTTGTGTTATGTGTTATTAGTATCCATTTGAATATTTATGAATAAAAGAAAACAAATAACCTTCATTATTTTTAAAATTTGGAATACAAGTATGTGGGTGCCATGTTGCCAGGATGTAAATAAACTTATTTGGAGCAGATGCAGTCACTGCTTAGAGGACAGGGAGTGATGTTCAGGCCTCCCACACTTTCAGAGTAAAGTGGGGCCTTTGGTTGGTCTGCTGCTTGAGAGCAGAGGCTGGCTTCCCATCGTCCTGGCGTGGGGTCCCTGGTTCCGGGCTGAGAGCAGCGCTGGAGCAGAGAGGTGGTGAAACGCAGCCTTTTGCTGATGGAAGTTGTTTATGTAACTGGCGATCAAAAGCGTGATTTCAAGAATCTAAAACAAGAAAAATAGAATTGTTATGCCCCTGAGAAGTTCTCATTTTTTCCAAAAGAAAGTGTTAGCTATGGGTAGTCTCTATTCGCAAGTGCCCAGGCTACTAGCATTCCCTTCTACGCAGATCAAACAATGAGGCATTTACATGTTAGCATGTACGTTTATTTACTGCATTTAGTTAGAGACATTAGTTTGCTAAAAATAGTAAAGAAAAGTGTGTTTTAATCATAAAATCTCAATCTTCCCACTAATGGGTCGGTAAAGTGAATTACGCCAAGTAAATACGATAATGCATATAAAGTTCCTCACAACAACTTACACCAAGGCCACTTATGTTGAACCTTCTGTATAGCAAGCATTGGGCTAAATACAATTCCTTCATTTAATTCTTAAGTAAACAAACAAAAGGTAGCATCATACCATTTAATTTTTAGATGAAGAAACCAAGGCTTTAAAAAGTAGAGGTAAGCCAGAATTTGGAGCTAGGGTGTTTGACTATAAGTGAAGTTTGTTTTCTCCTCTGGAACTTAGTCTTTGCACAATGAATGTTTTAGTGTGAAAGAACACTAGCATAAAGAGTTGGTTCAAAGAATTCTACTCACCTTGGGTTTTGCCATGGCAAAAAGTAATTTCTCTGTTGGTTTGTCCTTTGAATGTGTATTGCTAATGACCATCATAAAATCATCTTGATATCCTCCAAATGTCATTAGACTCTTGTACACATAGCTGACTATTAACCTCTTCAAAGAGAAGTAAGTATGTTATACACTCTTTATTTTCAAAGACAGATGAGAAGTGATTAATAGCATATCTCCATTAAATGCTGATATTAATTATGATATAATAGAAACATTTTTCCTAAAGTCAAATTTACTGTGATCCAAAATAGATAGTAGTATACTAATTTTATTTATACTAATTTTATTTATCATTTACCTTTATAATTAAAATACATTTTGATTTTGAAACAAATAACTCACTTTAGGAAAATGAGAAAAATACAAGAAGAAAATAAAAAGCGTCTATCTTCCAGCATTCAGTGAAAAACCACTGTTAATATTTTTGTATTATGTCCTTTAATATTTTTGTATATGTCTACATATGTATGTTAGGTTTAACCATATGAAACTGATACCTTTTAGGGTAAAACATGTCAGATATTGGCAAATCAATAAGGTTTATACTGATTTGCATACTTTGATTTACACAGACAAAAATAGTATCATGCACACTGATTCTTTTTAAATTTAACTACATATTGTGAAAATCTTTCCATGACAACAAATGTACTTATATAGCGTCTTTACCATTTCTTATTTAACTAAACTCCTATTACAGAACATTTAAATCATTTTTGTCACTAACTTAAGCAACACTCCAATGCATATTTTTCAACATATTTTGTAATACACATATGTAATTATTCCTTTGGTTACAAACATCAACAGCTGGAATTGCTATCTCAAGAAAATAAGGACAATATTTAGAATATTTCCAAACTCCTCCAGAAAGGTTATACCCACTTATGTACCCAGCACCTAACACTAAATATCATTTTTTGAATCTCTGCCAACCTCTGACTGGTGAAAAGTAGAATCTCACTGTTTTAAATGGAATTTATTTGATCACTAGTGAGGTTAACATTTAAAAATACATGTACTGAACATTTGTATTTCTTCTGTAAATTGCCTTGGACCATTTGTCTATAGGTGTGTTGATCACTTCCTTATTGTTTTTTAAAATGTGTTTTTATTGATTTCAGAAAGAGTAAGGGAGAGATAGAAACATCAATGATGAGAGAGAACCATTGATCGGCTGCCTCCTGTATTGGGGATCAAGCCCGAAATCCAGGCATGTACCCTGACCAGGAATTGAACCAGTGATCTCCTGGCTCATGGGTCGACACTCGACCACTGGCCACACTGGGTGGGCCATTTCCTTATTGTTTTATTAAGACATCCATGTTTATAAAGGATACCAACCCTTTATCATATATGCAGCACATATTCTTCCTAATGTGTTGCTTAAACAATTTAAAAATATTATTCAAAGATGTGCAGCCTAAAAGGAAAGGAATCTGCACATCTAATGATTAGTTTGCAAGAATGAGCAGACCATTCCAGCACTGACTGGCTCAAGGCTCAGCCCACACATGTCCACTTCCTGGCTGTTTACCCACCTCCCAGGATCTAGGGAACTGGTTTTCTTAGCTAAGATAACTCAGTCATGGTGTACAATGTTTTGTTGACTTTAAATCCGATTTTAGAATCTATCTTCAAGTTATCCATTCAAGAACTAAAAGGCATTCAAAAGCACAAACTCCTTCCAAAAGATTTTTTAAAGCAATTATAAGGAGAAACAGTTACTATAACACTTAAAAATAGTTGGATTTCCAAAAAATTCTCAGTGATCACTGACTATCCACAGTTGGAGAGCCCACGATACCTACCAGGTAAAATGTAGCAATTCCTGCCTGCCAGCTTAAAAAAAAAACCACAACATTTTTACTAAGTAATATGATACATATGAAGTAAATAAATGACACATAGCAGCATATCTGACTTTATATTTAATCACAGAAAAAGGTCTAAGATATTGTCTAGTTACAAGTAAACTGGTAAGTGATATGACAGGAAATTACAGAAATCCTCACAGAAGCCTTAGGGAAACTGTACTTAAGTTTCTATTTTAATGTTATTTGTTATTTTTTCATTTTACACAGAAAGCAATCTTCCTAACATTATAAATGGTCATTTTAAAAATACAACCACGATTACAATTCGGTCATGGTATCTTGATATTTTTCTCATACACAGTACAGGCATACCTTTGGTTTATTGCGCTTCACAGACTTTTATTCAAATTGAAGGTAAGACCCTCCACCAGCATAAGATTATTACTCACTAAAGGCGTTGGTGGTGGTTAGCATTTCTTAGCAATAAAGTATTTTTTTAAATTAAGGTACGTACATTGCTTTTTTTATAGACATAATGCTATTGCACATTTAGCAGACTACAGTCTAGCGTAAACGTAAATTTTCCATATACTAGGAAACCAAAACATCTGTGTGACTTGCTTTATTGTGATGTTTGCTTCACTGTGGTGGTCTGGAACCAAACTGCATATCTCTGAGCTATGCCCGTGTAGAACCTGTCTAGTCTTGTTTTAAAAGATTAAACTGTAATCATAGTTGTATATTTATAAAATGACTGTTCATTATATACTATTAGGAAGAAAATCAGACTAAGACATCATTACCTTCTGCTTACAGTACACTGAGCAATAGACTCAGTGCAAAACTTCAGGATTTAGCCTTACCATGGAGCTGTATTCTAAGATGCTTAAACCATCCTCATGTATAGCCAGCCACAGGAAAGTATTTCCAAGTGATGATGGAGTTATGGGCTATGAAGAAGTGAAAATACACTTTGTAATAAATGCTAAGCAAATTTACAGAAACATTTTTCAGCTCAAGATAATGCAACATTTAAAACAACAACTATTAAAAATCTCTCTTGGGGAGGAGGCAGTGTGGCATAATGGAAAAGGCAGGGACTCTGATATTAGGAAACCTGGGTTTGGGATCCAAAATGTCCATTGATTAATGTGTGTATTGGGACGAGCTATGTGATCTACCCCCTGGCAGGGTCAGTCCCTCCATCCTCAGTGTTCCTGCCGCGCTCTGCCCATGTCACTCTTGGCCATATTCACCAGCCAGTACTTGTTCCCAGGCCCATTGCAACACTGGATTGTGAGTTCCTGGAAGTTTGAGTACAACCCATCTGAAACCACCAGCTTATGTATCCCCTAGAGAGCCTAGCTCGGTGTTTGACAAACAGAATTCATAAAATATGAAAGAAATGAGCAAATGAGCGAGAGACTAGATGAGTGAATGGCTGCATGAATGAGGAGAAGAAAGCAAAGTTCAGCTGCTGTCTTCAGTCTAATGCTGAGCCTAATGAGTGTAAGAAATGACTTAAGGGAGGCGGGAGTGGAGCAGAGGGGAAAAGATGGAGAAGCTGATGGCTCTCCTGCCTTTTACTTATTGTTTAAACTGCTGGAAATTTCCTTATGTTCCTTTTAAACACCAAACCTATCAACCTGGGATTACTGTTACCACTGTTTTATTTACTGAACTGAATTATCCTCCATCTTCCTTACTTTTGCAAGAAACAACTTGGCACCAAAGAATGGCCACTTCCTGGCTACTGTCAAATAGATTCGCACACAATCAGCAGCACTGTGTCCCCGGAGGGCCATCCATCTGGTTGATAGTCGCTGGCAAAGCTGCCTAAAAAAAAGAGAAAAGAACAAAACAAACAAAAGCAAAATATAAAGTGGATCGTCCTCCTAAGAGAAGGCTCTTCTTAAGCCAGTGCTAGGCAGAACTGGGGTACCTAGACCCAACCTAGGCAAAACTGTAACCAGTCTACCCCTTGACCTTTTTGTAGTATTCCTTTCACCAAATCCTCAGTATTAGTGCTCTCAGCATGACCTAGGTTTCCTGTTTCCCACCCACTTCAGGTACTCTTAAAAAATCTGATGAATGCCCAGCCAGCGTGGTTGAGCGCTGACCTATGAACCAGGAGGCAGTGGTTCGATTCCCAGTCAGGGCACATGTCCGAGTTGTGGGCTCCATCTCCAGTGTGGGGCTTGCAGAAGGCAGCCAATCAATGATTCTCTCTCATGATTGATGTTTCTATCTCTCTCTCCCTCTCCCTTCCTCTCTGAAATAAAAAATATATATTTAAAAAAAATCTTGATTAGCTAATATAAAGTTTCAGTTTAAATTCTTTTAACAGGTAATCTCATGGGAATAACTTGCATTTTTAAAGAAAAGTACAAGAAGTTGAGACCAAAGAATAAATCCCTAACAGTGGAACTTTAGGTACTGCCACCCCTGGCTTGTAGAAATACTGGATGCAGGGAAAACCTCTTTTAAACCCCTTCTTCTACAGAGAGAAAAGACTCACCTCAAATGTCCCTATTTTGGAAAAACTCATTGTGAACTAGATTTCCTCTATTTTTAAATCTACAGCTTTTCTTTACATGCTCTCAAAAATCAAAACTCCAAGTTATCTGAGTTTAATTTAAAGCTTTATATTAAAAAATCTTATTTTTTATTCCAATTTGTTCATAATAAAATACCCTAAGAGATAAAAAACAAACAACTTTTGGTAATCACTTCATCAAATTAAACATATTATTGACCAATTTTTTTCTTTTATTTCCTAAATCTAAAAAGTTTTTAGGCATATAAATAAAAAGATGTACAATTTCTTGGGATTCACCACTATTAAAAAGCCTTGAAAAAAAGGTCATATACAATTTTTTTTCATCTTTAAAATATCACCAAAAAACAAGTGTGGCTCTGCCTTTAAGAGTTACAAGAGGTTCCTTACCTTACCTGCTCTTCAGAGGAGTCATCTCTATACCTTTTAGGGTAAAATTTCTCTATGACTTGTTTTAGAGTTTGGTTTGCTTTGCACTGATTAGTAACATGGCCTGCTGGGGTTGAAAAAGGTCTTTCAAAATCTCCAATCTCTACCTAATTGGAAATCCAAAAAAAGAGAAAACAAAGGATAAGAGTTTTTAAAAAAGAAAAATCAGTTTTATTCTTTCTAAGCATTCTTTATAATATATAATTACATATCCTATCTAATAATAGACAAAGATGGTAATTGACCGTACCTTCGCTATGCCTCCCATCGGCTAATCAGCGTGATATGCAAATTAACCGCCAACAAAGACGGCGGCTAATTTGCATACTGCAGGCAGGGCGGGACAGCACAACTGCCAGCACGAGAGCTGCCAACCACAACCCGTGTGTGACCCCAGAAGCCGCCTGCCTGCTAGCCAGTTGGGCTGCAGGCCGGCCCCAGAAGCCCCAGAAGCTGGTG